CCCCCCCCCCCCCCCCCCCGCCCCCCAGAACTTGCTGAGAGGAACGAAAACAGCCCTATTACCCACAGTCATCACCTAGCAAACAAGCTATTATGAAGAGATTACTGGGGACAGGGGGAGGGAAAGGGGAAAGCCATTATTCTCTCAGCAGGAGGTAATTCCCTTCCCATCCCTTCCCATGAGGTAATTCTCTCACCTCCAGAATTTAAATGAAGGCGCTGGGGGTTCCAAGAATACCAACCTAGAACTTAGAGTGCCAACAGGGGGAGAGACTGGCAGCTCGCTCCCCAGAGGGACTCGATGACCCACAGAACCTCAGAAATATTCCCCTTTGCTGCCGCCAGGGCTGATGATGGTGAGGGATTTCTTAGGAAAGCTGGTTACTCCATGTCATCCTGAGAGAGAGCTGAGAAGGGAGGCTTGGAGAGATAATCCAAGGCTGGAGGACAGGAACGAGCCTTAGTGTGGTGAGTGTGGAAGGGAATGGTGGCCAAACCCATACTAGCTCCCCTTGGTCCTTTGAGAGTGCCAAAGAGGACCTCGGCAGCTTCCTGGCTCCACGTGAAGGGGCAGAGGGGTTATAGAAGGAGGCAGAAACCATGGAAGACTCTAGGTTAAATAAGGTAATACTTCACCAGAGCGGGTATAGAACCACACGCGGGGCCAAAGGAGCAGGGACAGAGCTGACTGAAGGTGGCTTCCTCATGAAAATACATCTTAAGAGCAGAGCACAGCAGGAAAATAGGAACCTCACAGGTCAGGAAAAGACTAGTAGTGCCTCAGCACCACCCAAGCAGCAGTTATACAGGAAGAGCTCTGCCTCTTCTGTTCCCCTTTGACCCCTCAACCTCAGAGGGGTCAGATATTGAGAAGACAGGGAGGGGAAGTGTACAAAACAAGACCATGTTCCTCGTGCCACCCCAGGGGTTGGAGAAGGAAGACTGGTAAATTCTCTCCAAGTCCCTTGGAGTCTAGTGAGGGAAGGGTTTAGATTGCATATGGGATTGGAACTTCAAAGTGGACTGGACCTTTTATAGCCAAAGTGGCCAGAAATGTGGAGAATCTGCCCATGATACCATTAAAGGGCAAGAAAGGAAAATCAACAAAGATAGTCATTGGAAATGTAAAATTGTCGTCCCCAGATCACATCTTGCTATCACCACTAGAAAAAGGGGCAGTTTCAACTGATCATTTAAATAGTTATGATTCAAATAAATTTTACAGAGTGGATTTTATTTATTTGCATTCATGCACTTTTCGATCTCTCTGCTTTATGTGGAGGTAGCATCCTTTTGTAGTAAAATACATCTGTGATCAAATAATTCTGTTATTTATTTATTTATTTATTTATTTATTTATTTAAGTTTATTTATTTATTTTGAGAGGGAGAGAAATCACAAGCAGGGGAGGTGCCAAGAGAGAAGGAGAGAGAGAATTCCAAGCAGGCTCTGTGCTGTCAGCTCAGAGTCTGACACGGGGCCCAGTCACACGAATCATGAGACCATGACCTGAACTGAAATTAAGAGTCAGATGCTTGGGGCGCCTGGGT